CATAAGCTGTAGGAAAATGCTACAGGGGTTTTTTCCCACTTCTTTTGTAGTGGCACAACAGCTGGATTTGCATCAGGAAATCCACTCTTGTTCTTGCTGCTGCCCTGCAAGTTTATTCCTTTTCAATAAAAGCACCTTCAAGGGCCCATGTGCCTTTAACAGGCTACAGGATATAAGGGCTTTGAAACTTCAGAGGATGAAAAGACCAACTCTGCCAGGACAATGAAGTCTCCCAATCATTCCAGCAAGGTGAGACACTGCAAGCTACAGGAGACACGTTGTTTGTCACCTCAGACTGTGTCTACATGCAAATGGTTTTCATACACAGATTTTTTCCTAATGAGGAAGTCGCTGTGAGACCAGTGAGAACATGTTTTTAAGTCTCTCTCTGCCTCTTCCTAGGGGCCCAAGGCCACTGGGATGCTCAGTCTGCAGTCAAAGCCTCCAGCCTCCCCTGAGAACATGTCTAAGGGACAGATATAAAATTTAATAACATTTAATAGACAAAGCCTTCCTTGCAGTTGCCAAGTCATCTGCTTAGAGGCCAAGTAATGCTGGATGGGAAGACACATGTGGTGAGTCATAGTTTTGGGCAGTGAACTAATTAATACTATGCCTTGAGAAATGATGAGAGGAGTGGGGCTGAACCTTTTACTCCCTGTTTACACCATGACTCCGAATATGACTCCTTTCTCCAGGCCAGTCACACACCAGAGGGTTTCAAGACTCCTTGGTGAGTGCTGCCCATGGAAGAGGAGAGCATTTGGTGTTTCTTCTCAGTTCATGGGTGGAGTTGCCTCCCTGATTGTCTTCTTCAGCTCCTGAACACGTATGAGCATCCTGGGAGCAGTTTCTGGTTGTTTCCTGTCTCTCCTCTCTCTGTTTGCTTGCACTGACACAGCTCTGGCCATGGGCTGGATTTTCATCTAAATTCTCTCAGGATGTTACCAAGGAGCTCTGAGTCCATCCATCAGTCTGTCAATGTGCTGCATTGACCAGCCTTTCATACCTTGATCCTCCCCATCCACAATGGCTGAGACATGGTCTGTCCTCCAGGCTACTCTTGGGGCACTTGTGATTAAATTAATGACTGCAGGTGTGATTGGTGTAATCACCATCACTTCTCCTGGCACCTAAAGGGGTTGTTGGCATGACCCACAACTGCTGCCTGTGGGGCTGGGGTTCCAGCCATAGCCCCTTTGCCCACTTAGCTCCCATCCTTGCCGTCCCTGGGAGGTCAGGAGGAACAGCAGTCCTGGGTGTCCAAGGCCTCACCATGTCATAAACCATCATAGAATCATGGAATGGTTTGAGTTGGAAGGGGCATCCCTCCACCTCTTCCTTCTCAGGCTCTCCTTTAGAAGCAGCAACTCAGACAGCTTAAGTGCTGGACATGTATCTGAGGAAGATTTTGTTGGCTTCAGCTCCTCTTGTCAGCAGCCTCTCAGGCAGCACTTAGATGACCTTTTCCCATCTGTGCCCCATTTGTTCCTTGTCACTGCTGTAATGGGATGGAAGCATGTGAAGAAGGGTTGGACCTGTGGCCAAACACCACCCTGCTCTCTGAAGGTCACATCTACAGTCTGTGCTACCCCTAGACTGTGCTCAGACATTGCCTGGGAACATGCTGGCTGGTCAGGGACAGGGTGATGTCAGGGAGTTGTCGGCAAACAAACTGGGCTGCAAACTCCCCCTCTTGGCTTTGCAGTGGCTCCACTGTCCCTCTGCCACCAGTGAGCCTGGACCCTGCAGGTCTGTGTTAGCCTCAAAGTTCTTCACAGTCCACCTGTCCCTGTGCTCTCCGTGCCAAGATCCAATGGCTTGAGCCTCACAGCCTGGGACAAAATGTGTCACCATGGAGCCAAGGGCAGGATCCCCCTTCCAACGTGGTGGTGAGCAAGCTGGAGGGTTGCTGTGGAGTCATGCTCCTCCAGACAGTATGACCAAAGGGGCAGCATCCTCCCAGGGCCCCTCAGTGAAAACACAGCTCAGTGCAACCCCTCAGGTTGCCTTTATCCCTCCCACCCCAGTGGCACTGGTGTCATGCTTGCTGGTATTGTCTGGCTGCACTGGATTGTTCCAGCCACCCCTGAGCCCCTTCACCAGGGGCTGAGACCCTGCTCCATTGCACATCTGTGTCTCTTGCACAGCCAGACTCTTCCTCCCCACCACAGCAAGAAACGTTTTTCCTATTTATGCCCCAGAGCAGAAACGATCTGTTTAGATTTTGCTGCCAAAATATTCCCTGTACTGTAGAAAAAAACCCCAGCAATGTTGCAGCACCAGCAGGACCGGGCACTGTCAGGTCCTGGGGTCCTGTGGGATGACTGATCATCCTCAGGGCTTGTTTAGCAGAAGTGGGTGCAGCTGGGGCTGGGGAAGCACCGATGATCTCCCACCCAACCTGGCCTGGAGGGCTTGCAGGAGCCCTGGGCTGATGCTGGGCCCCATCCTTGGTTTCCTCCCCCTTTTTGGGGTGTGTTGAACCCTGCCAGTGGGACTCATCCCCCCAAGTCTGCTGTGTGCCTGCCTAGGAATCACAGGACCAGGAAGACAACTGGAAGAAGATGCTTTGTTTACCAGTGTCAGATCGTGCTGGAGCCCACTGGGTAGGATCTCACCCCACAGAGCAGATGCTCTTGGCCTCCAGTGGGACTGAAGGAGACATTTAATTCTGCACGCTGAGGGAACCATTGTCTCTGCCCAAGCAGCCAGGTAGCCCTGGCCCAGATATTTCTGCCGTTCTGTTCCTCAGCCTTCAAGAAACCTCTAAAACCCTTTGCCATTTTTTGATGGCCCCTCAGCCCCACGTGGGGCATCTCCTCACACCCCTTCAGTGCAGTGGAGATGCTCTGGCTCCTTGGTATTGCCCGAATCTCAAAAAAAAATATGCAAGATGTGGATTTAATGAATGAAATTCTGCTGGTAGCTTGTTCGACTCCCTCCTTCCCTGTGGATGCTGCTCACCATGCCCCTGGTGTTTCTGCCTTACACGTCCTCTGTATTGTTCATTTTGGGTGAACTTGTAGGGATTCTGGGGAAGACAAGGACACCTGTCTGCAGCATCTTCTCCTGAAAACAGTGAGAGATGTTTTATTCATGGGGACATTTTTGCTTCATGGGGAAAAGACACGACCTTTTTGTCAAGGTTTCCGTTCCTCTCTCTGAGAGTCAAAACCCTCCTTGATTTGGGCATTAAATCCTGATTTATATCAGAGCCTGAGGCAGGTCAGGAGCTGGCGAGACCCTGGGACAGTTGGCACCACAGCAAAGCACCTCTGCCCTACATGGATCCTTGCCTTTAGATCCAGCCATGCAATTTTGACCTGTTCTGCATCCCATGGCACAGCCCTGTTCCGACACACGGGTCCCCAGAGGAAGGAGAGAAGGGATGTAAGGAATCAAAGTGATGCTGCCTGTATTTCAGTTGGCTGCCCTGCCCCGGGATTAGGTCCTGAAGTTCGGCAGCCATGCTCAGGGCAAGGAAATAATTTCATTCTTCAGGAAAACCTGCTGTGATTTAGCCATTTCATGAACCTGCGTAGCTTTTAAATGCTTCCTGAGCATGGACTTGTCATTGTATTCTCTGCCTTTCTCTACTGGAACTGCACGTTTTCATTCTCCAAGTCCATGGCAATAAGCTGATTATTTAAAACATTTTGTCTTCTCCTTCTGATTTCTAGACATTCCCAGACCTTGCAGTCCATTTCCAAGTTCACTCCCACCTACTTCTTGCCATCTCCATGTTGGCACTGAAAGGATCGAATTCAGTAATAAAAGAAGAGACTTTTCTGGAAAGGCAAAAATAGCCCAAGAATCTCAGTAGCACCAAAACCCAACATCTCTCGCTTTGCCCTCCAGATCATTTGGTTTTACAACCTCTACCTGGTACAGACAGAAACTTAACAAGATATATCCCAATGAGAAACCCACATGATAACAAGAGAAATTAACTGAAATATTCTGTTATGCAACTTGCTGTCTGCTGGCTTTAAATGACCTAAATGTCTTAGTCTGTATTTTTTGTTCTAAAGTGCTTCCAATTACATATTCTTAATATATTTGTGTATACACTGTTATATTTATTTTTAAAAGAAGTAACCCAGGTTACTCAACAGCCACATTTTAAGATATAACTGGTTATTAAAAAAAATTATTTGCATTGTATGTGCAAAAAAATAAGTGACATTTCCATAATTAAAAAGAACAAAATCTGTCTTTGAGGAATTTTCCTGGCGAATATTTTCTCAGGTGCCATTTGCGTTCTCAGCTTATTTGCCAGACCAAATTCACATGACAGAATACAACAAAAGGAGAGAAAGAAGTCCAAAAAAACTGCAGCAGCCGAAAAAGAAAATAGAATTAAATGGTTCTTTTTTTCAAGATGGATCACAGTTTTATGTAAAGGAGGGAAATACTTGCTACACAGTCCTGCAACAGACCAAATTCCTATCGCACTAGAAAGACAAACCGCATCCTTTCACATCTAAAACAAATGTCTCTTGCTCCAGTGAAAAAAATGGAGAAATTAAGAGTGGTGGGGAAGACTCCATTTGTGCAAAGAGAAACCCAGACATTGTCCTTTAAAAATAACCCCAAACTTTTCATTAATTACCAGTCAAATCTGGGGGATTTATGTTTAGAATCAAACGTGCAATCATGGCCAGCCCAGCAGGGTGAAGGGTGAAAAGGAAGCAACGTGCACACACACAAATCCCATAGCTAATAATTAATTAATTCATTAATCAATCATAGAAAGAGGGGGGGGGGAGGAGGGG